TATGCTGTTACCGTCAGCTCTCTGGATAAGTTGCAATGAAGATTCATGACTCACAAAAGTAAATAAAAAAATGATAGTTATAGTTTGCAATTTAGCCCTTGACCTGATTAGATCATTTCTCTAAACTGAACAGGAGGGAAATCACAGCGTCCTTCCGTTCTTAAACAATGTGAAGCATTTTTTGGGGTGTTTGGATATAAACAATACGCTTGGTCATTCACCGAGCTGGCTTAATTAGCCTTGATACTGTAATGATGTTACCTAAAATAATCCTAGAATGACATGTACAGGTAGTAGAATTATATACATGTAGAAAAATCAGATTAGGCAAAGCGTTTTTAACATTTTTGTTGAAATCACAAACAATGTATTTGATGAAAGATCAAAACATACTGAATACTGCTTTTAAAAACATAGATTCTAACATCCGATAAAGACCAGTTAATTTATATAGTATGTTAATTCCAATCACAAATCTCAGGCCCTGTGCTTGATTGTATTTCCTGCTAAGGACAGCAGTGTGTCTATAAAAAAGTTTCACAAACTCTTTCCTTTTTGTTCTTTTGTTGGATAGCTAGCTAATTCCTTTTAAATAATCTGGTGAAAAAAATTATGTTTGAATTTAATATCTAAGTATAAGTATAAGTATTGCATTAATGCAAAATATAGGTCACTCAAAAAACTAAAAAACAAACAAACATAAATAAAAATACAAACGCAAATGCAGCAATACCAAAAGACATTGGGGTTATGTATAAATGTGACAAGCTCACATTATTGATTGTTTTTGTTACGCTTTTCCTGTTTGGGCATATTTATCACATTATTTGTATCAGCATATTCCTTACTGTGCCTCTTTCATTATTTTATTTTCCTCCCCATTTTTTGGAGGAGTTTATAAAATTGTTATTTTTAATGTAAAAAAAGAAGTGCAAAAGTGTGCTACATTATGGTGTGTTTTCTCCGTTAAGTAGCTTTTAAGACCATTCTTTTTTGCAAATTTGACTTTTTTTTTTCTCATGATATTTGTCCTTTGTCTTATCTTGTGAATGTAATAAATGTCAAAATCGTCAGGGAAAAAAGGAATAAAATATCTAAAAAAAGAATTAAAAAAAATGGCAAAAGAAATAATTTTGGAGCATTACAGAAAAGGTGGAAAAAGGTATTATATCAATACTTAATCAGCACAAAATAATAACAGAATACCAAACTCAGACTGATAATAAATCCACCATCAAGGAGTATACTAACAGGACTTTAAAATAAACAAAATAATGTCTATTTTAAGAAAAAGTTGTAAAAAACTGTTTTGGAAAATTCTTTTGCAATGTTTTGGTTATTTTTGTTACCAATAAATTAGAAACCCTTATAGACATAAATGACCTTTTTTAATGTAAGATAAAATAATGCATGCTCTCTACTTATAAGCAACCCATTCCTCAATCAGATTAGCTTAATTAAGTTGAGTATGCATTCTTTTTTAATATGTACACTTTTATTGTTTGGCTACTTGTTGTTTTTATTTATTTTGCATTATCAAAACTAAGCTGACATTAGTGCATTTTAGTTTGTTTCAAAAGATGTTCTTTGCAAAGAAATGATTGTAGTTTTTAATGTTTTAGGTCATGGGTGTCAAATTATTGCAACTCCTGCTCTCTTGTCCTCCTTGTCTCCCACCCCCTCTAAACTGGTATGCTTATGGTGCCATGAGAGTCCTGGCAACCGACATTGTAAGTAGTCAAACCATTTTAGAGTGGTTTAACTTCTTACCTGAGTACCCCTTCCCATGTCAACTAATACCTATGGAGGGTCAGAAGCTTTTGAGCAGAAGTGCCTGTTAAGATCTACACCCACCCACCCACACACACACCACACCACACACACTGACAGTCAAACACTCACACACTCACTGACAGACACACACACAGGCAGACACTCACTGACATACACTCACTCACTGACAGACACACACACACACACACACACACAGGGAGACACTCAATGACAGACACACACACACAGACAGTCAAACACTCACACACTCACTGACAGACACACACACACACACACACACACACACACACACAGGCAGATACACACACACACACACTCACTCACTGACAGACACACACACACAGACACACGACATACATACACTCACTCACTGACAGACACACACACATACAGACACTCACTGACAGACACACACACACACACACACAGACAGACACTCACTGACGACGATACACACTCACACACTCACACAGACACACACACACACACACACACACACAAACAGGCAGACACTCACTGACATACATACACTCCTCACTGACAGACACACACACACACACACACACACACACACACACACACAGACAGATACTGACTGACATACATACACTCAATCACTGTCAGACAGACAGACACACACACACACACACACACACACAGACACTCACTGACATACATACACTCAGTCACTAACAGACACACACACACACACACACACACACAGGCAGACACTCACTGACATACACACACAAACACACTCACTGACAGTCAAACACTCACACATTCACTGACACACAGACTCAGACATCCAGCCTCCTTACCTCTCTGGGGTCCAGTATGGGGCAGATCCTCACTCCTCCAGCGTGCTGTTTGGTATGCCGGGGCCGGAATGGGGTCATATTCCGGCTCCCGGCATCATAGAGGGCGCGCAAGGGAGGATTGGGAAACTGCAAGAACAGCCCCCCCCACCACCCACACTGCCGCCTGCCTCCTTTCCTCCATTGGCATTCATTGGCAGAGCAGGCACCTACCATCAGGGTAAGCAGGTGCCTGCTCTGCCATACCGAAAAATGGACAGCTTTGGGATGCCCTGAGGTGGCCATATGGCCACCTCCTGGTCCCCCTGTGACAAGGCTCCTCCAGGTGCCCCCATTTTCAGGGCGCCTGGATGATCAACCCTGCGCTGAGGGGGGGGGGGGTGCGGTTCTAGAGCCGCTCGCCCATCGCTGCGACTCAGGAAAGTGGGAGCCCACCAGGAAATATCCTTGTGGGTGCCCAGTGCCTAGTTCACCTAACAGTGGCGCCTGCCCTGACAGTTAGGAAGTCCTACTTATATTGGGGGTTCCATGGCAACCTTGGCACAATAATCACTGTAGCCTGCTGTAGTTGTTATGGTGCTTGGAGTGCTTCTTTATAAATGCTGACAGGCAGGTTCATTGCCAGCAAATCTGATTTTAAATGTGCTATATTCTCCCTGCAAGCGTGTGAAACTCTTTCTGGGTGAAAAGCTGTGTGAGGAAGAGCAGGAGAACCGCCTGTAGGAGGATTCTCCTGTTTTCTCATGTCCCTCAATTCTGGCTTTGATCACTATGCCTCTGGCCTCTGCTAGGAAAATGTATAGATCAAAATTGTGTGCACCATGACAAACTCACTTTTACAGTAAATAAAAAAAAAGGCCTGAACCTCAAGATGGCCAAACGTGTTAGCTCATAGCTCCGGCAATCAAGACCCATTAACCTGCTACAAAGCGTAGAACTCACCCTGAAAGCCGACAGAAACGCACTGCAGATCACTTACGAGCCAGTGAACCGATTGCTGGCACCAGTGGGCACCGATCTGGTGCGGAATCCCGAGACCCCGAGCTTGCGGCCTACAGTGTCTGTCAGCGTGTCGGCTGGAGGAGGTGGCGCTCTCCCGACTGACTCACAGCGATCTATAATCAGCCCTGATATCCCGGTCCCCACTGGGGCAAGCTAAACCTCCACAACAGAGAACCTCTAAATCCGATACCCTTCACAGCCACGTGGCAGCACCAAGATGGCCACCGCACCGCAACAACTCTTAAGTCCAGAGGGCTCAAGAGGCCATGCTTGGTGGGAAAGCTTTGACACAAGATTTGAGCAGATATGCCAGAACTTCTGGAATCGACTTGCCAGTCAAACAGCTATACACCCAATCTCGCCCGCACCACTGCTCTATCCAGCCGCCATGCCAGCTCTCTATCCCTCCCATGGGCTGAAAGCCTGTGTAAAAGGGAATCCACAGCACAGCAATTCACACACCGGTAGGCTGAGACCCTGGCAACCTCTGAAGCCTGGTCCTCATGCAGCACACTCTACCAAGAACAGAGCAGGCTGTGACAAGCGGGTCCGACACATGGGATTACCTGTTACCCATCCTCCTTCTAGGAATCGGGCCAGCCTGGAGTTATCTCCCAGCCGATGTCGATGTTCTCTGAGGGTGGCCAGATTATCGGCAGACCGGCAGAACTCGGGATACCACACTTGGCACCGGAAAATCACTGGACATTGGGCATTAGCCCTCGTCAAAACCTGGAGCTGAAGGTACAGGAACCTGGGGCACGACGGTGTCATTCCCTACTGGTTGGAGGACACTCAGCGAATTCTGACATACCAAGCGAGGGAGTGCGGAGATGACGGACCTGCTGTGAAGCTGGACTCCTGTTCAAGGTCTCTATGTGGCATTGGGTGACTCAGCCTGGCATCATCTGGGCTATCAAAGTTTAGGCTTCTTCCTTCGGCCTTCTATTGTTTAAACTCTGAGTTGTTTGACTTCTCTGACTTGTTAATTTTATTATCTTTGCCTCATCTCATGCCCAGTGGTAATAAATAACATGTTACACATAGCATGTCGACTAGCAAACATATTAGTACTGTTTATACCTACAATCTAAACCATGCTTTGAGCTCTCTTGCAATTTAAATCTCCTGATAGTCTCACTTGTTTCATGTATAGCATTGTACTAATGGCATCTTCACTCTAGCAACACTCATACACCTGTGCAGCCCTAGTAGCATTGCTAATCTCGTAGGTTTAAACTATGTTTAATCTTCGTACGTTCCTAATTTTAATAATAATGTCTATCCAGGGCCGCCATCAGACATTTTGGGGCCCCTGACAAAGCACAAGGTGTGTAGTGAATGCAGAGAGTGTGTTAGTGTGTAGCGGATGAAGAGTGTGTATTAGTGTAGTGAATGCAGAGTGTGTTAATGTGTAGTGAATGCAGAGAGTGTGTTAGTGTGTAGAGGATGCAGAGTGTGTGTTAGTGTAGTGAATGCAGCGTGTTAATGTGTAGTGAATGCAGAGAGTGTGTTAGTGTGTAGCGGATGCAGAGAGTGTGTTAGTGTATTGAATGCAGAGTGTGTTAATGTGTAGCGAATGCAGAGTGTGTGTCAGTGTAGTGGATGCAGTGAGTGTGTTGGTGTGTAGTGAATGCAGAGTGTGTGTTGCATTAGTGTATGCAGTGTGTGTGTTGTATAAGTGTATACAGTGTGTGTGTTGTGTTAGTGTATGCAGAGTGTGTGTTGTATTAGTGTATGCAGTGTGTGTTGTGTTAATGTATGCTGTGTGTGTGTTGTATTTGTGTATGCTGTGTGTGTTGTGTTAGTGTATGCAGTGTGTGTGTTGTGTTAGTGTATGCAGTGTGTGTTGTGTTAGTGTATGTATTGTGTGTGTTGTGTTAGTGTATGCAGTGTGTGTATTGTATTAGTGTATGCAGCGTGTGTGTTGTATTAGTGTATGCAGTGTGTGTGTTGTATTAGTATATGCTGTGTGTGTGTGTGTGTTGTGTTAGTGTATTCAGAGTGTGTGTTGTATAAGTGTATGCAGTGTGTGTGTTGTGTTAGTGTATGCAGTGTGTGTGTTGTATTAGTGTATGCTGTGTGTGTGTTGTATTGGTGTATGCAGTGTGTGTGTGTTGTATTAGTGTATGCAGTATGTGTGTGTTGTATTGGTGTATGCAGTGTGTGTGTGTTGTATTAGTGTATGCAGTGTGTGTTGTATTAGTGTATGCAGTGTGTGTAAATGTGCAAACTAGGGGGGAGGGGCATTTTCACAGTAATTTTATATTAAATTAATTAAATGTTTCTCCCCCCTCCCTGTTTCTTACCTGTGTCCAGGGAGGGGGGAGACTCCATCCCTGGTGGTCCG